GGAAGATAGGAGAATATGTTTGTTTCCTAAGGTACTGTAACTGATAAAAACCCATCCTTTCTGGAGCTAGAAGGATAGATGGAAGCTGGACCAAAAGCATATCTCCAAGGAGACAATGTAACTGGCAGATTTTGATAGGATATGAATAAGTTGGATTTGCATGGTTAGCTAGGAAGGAAGGAGACCACCAACTAAAGAATTTCTTACAAGTGATTCATTTTGATGTGTGAGAGATTAATCTAGTGGAAAGAAACCTGGCATTACTCATGCTGTAGGCCCCTTCCCCATATTATTGCAATAGAAATTGTTATCCTGAGGACTACATGAATTCTTATGTTCTTCAGAAACAACCCTGAGCTAGATAATTTCTGCCTGTAAAATAAAATACTGAGAACAAGTAGCTATAGCTTCGACTGGAACTATAAGTCTTGGGACTAGATCCAACTCAGGAAAGCAGCTCATTGAGCAAATCTCTCAACTTAACTTAGTCCACAGAGTTGATGTTGGAAAGAGATAGCTAGAAGAAAGGATTCTAAGTTACCACCTTGACTTCTTGGTGGAGGAAAGGCAGGATATAAATCTAACAAATAAAAACGTGAAAGGACATTAAATTAGAATTCCTTTCTGAAAGTCAATTCTGCATTTCATTTCTTCAATGAGATAATGCTTGAAGTATTTGTGCCAATTTCACTTTTAATTGTTTAATTTAGTGTAGTTATTTAAAAAAAAAACAATTGAAACTGCATTTTGGTTTAGTGTATACTGATGATGTTTTATGAATTTGCCCTGAGTTTTTTATTTGAAGAGCAAACTGAATGCTGACTTCATATACCAAAGTAAGCTATAGTTATTTCAACAGCTATCTGGATTCACAGAACATAGTAAACCATAAACCATAAGCCTGGTGTCAAATAAGGGGCTAAACTAGAACCGGATGGATCATATTATGGATTAATATGGTGTATGAAACCGGTCAATCTGTAACAGCAGAGCCTTGAACTCCTTTGGCTTCTTCTGAGTGAACTGTGGTAATGAAATTTTGTTTATTGTTTATTTATTAAATCAGTAATGACTTTCAGGGGTTTAAAGCAAAAAGTTAATCATAAACTACGATAAAAAAGCAAAAATGACTCCATTGCTGTTATAAATCAGCAATAAAAGTAGCAGAGAAATTGGAACACATTAACAATAGCAATTACAATGCCTACCTTAATTAACACCAACACTGTCTCTTGAGACCCTAAACCAGGGGTAGGCAACCTTGGCTCTTTTATGACTCGTGGACTTCAACTCCCAGAATTCCTGAGCCAGCAGGAGTTGAAGTCCATGAGTCATAAAAGAGCCAAGGTTGCCTACCCCTGCCCTAAACAATGTTTTGACTTAACAGTTTTCTGGAAAAACATTAGAGAATGTAATGATCTATCTTCAGAGGGGAGACTGTTCCTCAGGATAGGGATCTCTACAGGAAAAGACTGCTACTGAACCTCCACATCCCTTATTTCATGTATCTGGGGATCATTTGAAAGCAGCAGAAGCAAAGGACAGGTTTGTCTGGGAGTCAGACCAAGTTGAGTATAAAAGTTGAGTAAAAAACAGGTGGAATCTTTGATTGACAGAACCATCAGTGTCAGCAGTTTGTGACTTTCATAACTGTATTTATGGTCTACATCCTATAACAGTAACATATTTTTGAAGTAATAGGTAATAATATTATCTTTTCTGTTAATGTTATCAGGCCTGAGGGTAACTGGTGCAGTTCTAAAATGGTTTCCATACTGAATTAAATATTCTCTCTCTCTTGTGTTTTATGCGTATGCATATTTTTAAAATATTTTAAAGATGATTCTCTGTGTGTGCATGTTTGTATGTGTGTATGTGTATATTTATGTATCATTTATCTGTGTGTGTGTGTGTGTGTGTGTGTGTATGTAATGTGTGTGTATGTTTTAATTAATTGTTGTAGGTCGCCAGAGTCACTTTGTGTGAGACGAGCAGCCCTATAAAATTTTATCAATCAATAAATAAGAAAGTTCAGCTTGTCATGTTTGATCATGAGTCATCACGATGCTGGAGTCATCATATAATGAATATTTACCTCAGACTTCAGCCTCAGATGCCGCATAAAGGATGCTATAAATAAAGAATAATCTTTGCTGAAAATAGAAATAAATACTATGAAAATTTTCTACCTTCAGAATGGAACAAAGTTTTCCAGAAAATAACAGTATTTTGTAGCTTTCTTGGTCATTTACAACAGAGATTCTTTGAGATATTTTTTTCCCAAAGAAGAGTGTGTCCTAATATATTTTCTAGAAATAATGACTTCAGTGTGTGCTTCATTTCTCTTTCTTTTAGTGATCATAATAGAAAAGCTATTAGGAAATTATTTTGCACCTTGAAAGATACCGACAGTTACACTCTGGCATTTCTGAAGAGGACCAAATGTGCTTTTGTCTTTTCTAATCTCAGTGTTGTTTCAGCAGCCAGGATGCTGAATAAGATAATAAGATATTGAATTCTAAAAATAGTACCTGTTCTATCTTTATGTCACGATATCCCTGAGGAAAATTGCTGAATGATTTGCAGGTAACCATTGTTAACTGCTTTTCAAATCAGGAGCTTCTAAAAATTGAATTTCATTTTATAAAAAATGTGAGATTTATATCCCCGAGACTGATCTTTTCTTTGCTGAATATGTGGATCGTAGCCTGCTGCTTAAAATATTCTCCTCTAGAAGGAAAATGCTTTGGCTGTGTTCAAACCTCAATCTGTCTATGGGCTAGTATCTAGAACTCTTTAATGGGTGCCTTCTTAGGTAAAATAAATTATATGTGTATTCAGTGATATATTCTTTTTTACACAATTGTTTTGAATCTATTAGTAAATGAGACATGAAAATGAAATATAATCAGAAGAAATGAGTAAGCATGGAAAGCATTCCATACCCTCTCATTTGCACAGGATATGACTACATTGCCAGGAAGTATCAACAGAATTCTACTTTAGTTGCTAATACTTCCTGGCAATATAGCCACATCCTATGTAGATGAGATGATATGGAATGCTTTCCATGCTTTCTTATTTCCTCTCATTATATTTCACTTTTCTTTCAACTGAAGAGTTAGATCAGCTTATGGAATAAAATAAACCTCAAAAATGCAAAAGTGGAATCAAAATAATTACATTGTAGATAATTTGATGTGTTCAGTGCCTTGCATGTTGATATGTGTATATTTGTATCTCTATATCCACCATTTGTTGATTGATGACTTCCAACTATGGATAATACATGCAGCATTGTTGATGAGCATCACTGTGGTTGGTGGCTGTTTACTATGCATAGCCTGTCCTTGTTATTTGACAATCTTGAGCCAGCAGAAGGCCCTACTTTGCAAGCTTTTGCTATCTAACCATTGACTTACATCCCCCAAGTTGTATTTAAAGCAGTCAATATCAGTAATGGTGCCAAAGGACGACACCTCAGTGGGTAACCTGTATGAAAAATCTGGTTTAGGAGTTGCAAAAATGTGAGGTTCATTGACATGGTTCCTGAAAAAATGAATGTGGATTGTGTGAGGGTATTTTTAGGGGAGAATTGAGAATTCCCCATGGTGGGAATAGTGCTAAGACTATGCTGTTTGAATAAAGATGAGTTAGAAGGACAATGTATTAGATGGGAACTATGTCTCTATCACTGAATTTATACATTATAAGTTTGTGTATGCCAGGGTATGTGGTTGCCCTTTGCCCATTGTGAAATGTAAATTTATTCCTGTCTAGTTTTCCTTGTATGGGTTTTAGAACTGAGTTTGATTAGGGTGCTTCAAACTCTAGGTGACTTTCAAGGTTCTCTGGTGGATATATTTTATAAATTTATTGACTTCTATGGTAAGGAGATAATCAAAATTATCTTATTATTTTTAATGTAATGATACTGTTATATGGGTCTAAGACACTTATAATATATGCCACCATAATCAGTAACTTGTTAGTTTATGTCAATGTGAGGATTTATCTTGCCATCTTGGAAGCAAATGTGAAGGAAAACATTCATTTTGAATTTAAAGCTGATTTAAGCTTTAAGATATTTAAAAATATTTTTGATCAGCCAAGAGGCAATAACATTTGTTTATAATCTCATTCTCTACTGAAAGTTATTATGTGTAAAAAACATAATTTGAAATGTTATTGCTAATTTTCAGTGAACCTATCTTGAAAACTTTATTTTCAGTGTTAATTTGTTTCACATTATAGCTGTTTTATGTACCTATACTACATAGATAAATAGATAGATAGATAGATAGATAGATAGTTACACTGATTTTCAAGAAAATACATTTGTTATAGTTTTATCTTATATGTTTAAAATACTTTTTCAGACCTTAGGGGCACTGTTCTTAGAGTTCCCAAGATATGACCATGGTTAGAATATATGTGTAAAGAATCAGGCCTGTTCATATGATTTAACAGATATTAGAACCAGTGATCTTGTTGAGCTCTTGATGACCTATGGGTGGGGAAATATATAGATTATTGATGTCATTGCCCCAAATGCCCTGTCTGATGCTGTAAAACAGCACTATCTAATAAAAAAAATATTGATTTCTCGATTGGATGGTTATTGACACTTCAGTGAATGTTCAGGAAAGACTAGCTTTTTGAAAAAAAAAAGATTTAACACATTTGAAGAAATTTTAATAAGTATGATTTAGACATGTTTGTTGATTGTCCCATATTGGCCTTCTATTAATATTGGATTAAAAGAGAATTAAGATTTAGATATGTGAATATAATATATTCTGTAGCAAAAATTTGGAATTTGTCAACCTGTGCAGAACTTTGGTTATATAAGGTTGGAGGATGTTTTGTGTGTGCCTGAGAAGAAGGGCAGAAGGAAGTGACCTCAGGTGAACAATTTTATAGACGAAGAACAGACAGAGTAATAGACAAAAAGAGGATGCAGAGTAAATCCTGACTTGTACTCTTCTTTCCCCTTTCAGGTCATGAAGTGCTAAAAAGTCAATTCCATTGGATTTGCCCTGCTAACATATAAAGCTTGGGATGTAGTAAAGAAAATAATAATGCACAGTTGGAAAGAAACTACAGTCTCACTTGAACAATCTCGGATTGAAGAAATGTGTTCACTTTCATCCTTTCAATTAATCCTTTATAGATATAATGCAAAGATGGATCAATATGACTCCTTGTGGTAAATGTTCGATCTGTGAGCCACTTTACATTATGATTCTACTTGATACTCAGATTGTAAAGTAATTTGTTATGTTTTAGTTCTGTTATTTTCTTTTTTTAAACTTTTTTACCTATTTCTTTTACATTAGCACATCACACAGTAAAATATTACTAAAAGGTATTAAGAAATGAAGCCTTTGAGCCAATAATCAGAAGTCTCCTCAAGATGACAATAACATACAGCTTCACAACATGTGAAATAGGAGAGGTTGTGAATATCCCAACCCAGTGGCTGGCTACAATAATGGAGAAGATGAGGAACAGTAAACTAAATGTGCATCCTGGAAGTTGGAGACTGTGTGGGATGAAGTGGCTTTTCATCTCAAATCATGTAATAATGTTTATTCTTAATTCCATTTATGCATCTGTTAGACATCCCTCTTTTTTCCCAGGCCAAGCCTATATGAATGTTGTATGTATTGTTTTGAGTTAGGTTTGTTTGGTTTTGTTTCTTCATTTTTGTACTATTTTCATCTGCCTTTTTAAGTTGACTATAACCCACTTTAAGATTTGAATTAAAAGGAATCACTGTATAAATATTTTAAAAACTTAAATATTTTTTCTTCTTTTCTGTTCTGATTGACATAGTTGCCAGATAAAGTATAAAATCCCTTAGCAATGTTAACCGGAGGTCTGTTTTTATATGTGGTATATAAACATTAATTCCATGAAGCTTTCTTTTTTTCAAAACAAGGCAAGGAGAAAGAAAAATGAAATTAATCCATTCATTAATCTTTGTAATAAAATTGACTAGCAATTTCTTAACTTTTAAACCACAGTGAAGTGCAAGGTTAGGAAAGCACATGAGAGTCCTCCCTTCCCTGTTGCTAGATTGAAGTGCTAGGACTAAAATTCATTGCATTTTTTTTTATTCTGGGTAGTAATTCTTAGAGTTGCAGTCCCAGCATATTTTTACACCCCCAAATTTGGAAATTTTCATGTAGAGAAAGAGCTGGATGGAAATCACTGAATCCTTGCAGAACATTTTGTAATACTTTTTAGTGAAACCTGGCTTGCTTCAACAATCCAGAAAGCTTTAGAAAGAGAACCTCCAACTTCAGGACATGTTCAGAAAATCACCTGTGACTAGAAAAGTAGTGGGAATTGATCAAATGTACTGTTTACTCTAAGCAAAATTTCACAATCATGTTTGTTCAGCAGCCAGCAGAGCAATATCTATGGTTCTGATTTCAATGTGAAGAATAGAAAACTGATCTATATACCACCATCAACATATCCGGAAATTTACAAAACAATGCTACAATTGTTCTGTGCTGAAGCAGCAGTTGGACACGCCATTACTCTACTGGCTGAAAGTAGGTGAGAGCGGGGCAGGTCAGAAACCTAGAACAAGGACACTTGTCACTATCTCATAGTAAGAAGCTGGTTTCATGTTGCAGCTTTGTATATTAGAAATAATGTGTAGAGAAGAAAACCGAAAGGTAGAAGCATCACTTTTATAAGAAGGTATCTCCTTGAGGTTGCTGTCTACATGGAAGAAAAATAAACTTCATTTATGAAATAACTTGGTGACAGAAAAGTCAGGGTTATTTATGGCTAGGATTCTGTCATGTGCTCTTCTCTATTATAGAAGGAGAGAATAATTTAGGAAAGTACCTGAAGTGCACAGATTAGAGTCAAAAGAGAGAAAGAAGACTAAATTGAAGGAAGGAGGATGTAGTAACAGTTCTGGGAGTACTAGTCTAACCAATAGGAGCCTTTATGTTACATAAAGGCATGAAAAGAAAGTCCTTTAGCGAAGAAAGGATAGAGGTGAAGAGAACAGTGGTTAATAGATACACATAACTGATGCATGAAAAGCTGAATGCCAACTGCCAATAATAGCCAGTAGATTTGGCACCAACATAAATATAAAAAGAGATAATGTATGGTTTTTTCGGCTGTTTTCTTGTCTATCTTTTAAGTGAGTGACAAGATGCAATATATGCCAAAACCTATATTTTACCTTCTGGGTCTCTACTGTTGTAGGTACTTTCTCTCTTAGGCAAAGTCTGATACTATAAAAAAGCTGGACCCAGACTGATAATCTTGTTGGGAGCATAGTCATCTGATAAAATCCACAATGGTGTCAAAATGATCCAAATTGAAATGCATGATGACAGTACAAAATATGCGATGTTATTTCTTCATGTGGAAAAAACTAAATTATAGAGGTGAAGAGGAGAAATGATGTAACAATTAAATTGGTCATTTCCTTGGGTATAGATAGTTACATCTATCATTGCCCTAAATTGAGGTAAAACCTGGGAAATACCTTATAGCAGGGGTGGGGAACTATAGCCTCTTTATGACCTATGAACTTCAACTCCCAGAATTCTTGAGCCAGCCATGGATTAAGTAAGCATGGTCTGATATGATTATCAACTACATTTCTAAAATCAGTAACCTATAGCATCTTATAGAGTCATCTAGCCATTGCCCCTAATTACCGAAATATCACCACAGCAATTGCAGGGTGATGTTAAAAATGTGATAAATGATTAAGGTGAAATTGATTGAAGTCCTGTACCTCATTAAAATTATAAAGAAATGTGTAAAGAATGTTATTGAAAAGCACATTGAAATTTAATGGATTAAATCCTGCAGATGGGAAGGTAATTAAGGATGTGTCCCTACATCCATTTCTATGCAAGTAAAGCAACAAATGAATACAAAGGGACTTGATTCAACTAAACATACAGCCTGCAAATACATTTACTCTGAAACAAGCTATTTTTTTAATTTTCATGCAATTACCCTGGAACATTGGAATAGAGCCAAAGAAACATTCAGACAAATACATTTTAATCAGAATTCACATGTATCTTGAAAACAATGCCAATGACCATTCTCTGATGTGAAAATAATTCTTTGTACGATTGATTTTTTTTCTTCCTCCCAATGTACAGAAGAATTCAATAAACAACAATTTGCTGTGAAAACAATGAGACCAAAAACCGTTCCTTTGGATTGTGCTGAGAGGCAGCTCAAATGATTTCTACATCAGAACTCAGTAAATATTATAAGTGGAAGATGGGAAGTCTTGACAAAACCTTGAAGCAGAGGAAAGCTTCCATAATTATGTATTTGCCTTAGGGGATTGGAGATAGTAACCAAAGCAATGTCTCCCAGAGATTATTCATCACCTGGGACTTACAGTAAATATGGCTCAGAAATTGGATAGGAATTTGCGAGCTGAACTGGAATTTAAAGAGAAAAGGAATAACATATCAGCATCACACAGAAAATCAATCATGCTCTGGGACAGAAAATGCATCATCTCTGAACCTTCCCACAACCCACTTCTTGTTAGACTTAAAAGGCTGCCCATTGATCTAGCAAAAACAATTTTCTAATAATTATACTGGCAAGGGAGGGCTCAAGATTTTTAATGAGAGAATTGAAAGGAAGAGCTTAGAAAGCGGAGCAATGCAAGATAAAATAATAGTTAATACACTTGCTCACAGAACAGAGATATTATTAAACTAAATTGCAATCATATTTTTTTAATCAAGCCAAATGCTACATTGCCTACAAATTTGCCCACACACGTGACTATTGTACTTATATCTCTAAAAGCACAATTACATCTAGTGGTTCAAAAACAATTCTGGATCTGTTGTATGTCACAGTATTGGGCTGTGCTCAAGAACCAAGAAATTTATGCTCTTAATGATAAACTGAACCAACAAGTAGAGGAAGCTGCCAATATTTGGACAGGCCCTTGTGGAAGGCTCCTAATTTATCCATGTAAATAATAATGAGTGTGAAGTAATGACAAGGGCTTCTACACTCTTAACCAAGACAGTTCATGAGGATAACTTTAATTTAGTAATAAAAGTTTTCCTGTATTTCCATGAGGACTCATGGGCCCTATTTTCAAACCACGCTTGATTCAGACAGCAATTTGTCACAATTGCCACAAGCAGCACACAATGATAGTGAGTTAGAAATGCCATTTTGGGAACACAACCATTTACAGACCTTTACTTCTGTAATGGCAAATTTTGCTTTTCTAGCTACTTTCTCTATGACTTTTTTTTTTGGAAGACTAGATAGAATATGTACAATGGGTTGGCTAAATGACAATAAGTGTTCCTAAGACATGATTGACTGGGTGGAATTTTAACCTGATTAGTTTAATCTGATGGCATTTGTTTGGGCCGAATTTTATTTATTTGCTAATTTGTCCAATTTGGGGGGTGAGGTATACCCTGCTAAACAATAAGATTCTGTGCACTGTAGCTGTTCCAGATCAGATAGATTAGATTTAAGTATTGGATTTTTTTTGTAGTGTCGCCATATATTTAAATTTTTATTGACCTAGTTATTGTTGTGGGGAAAATATCGTTATATGTTAAATATTGTTGGAAGTCAGCACTCACCTACCCTCCTAGAGAAGGAAATATTTTGGAGGATAGTAAAAAGGCAGAATATTATATTTCCCCAAAGGATCTTACAGGCAGAAAAGCAGGCCCAGTTTTTCTTAATAGCCCCAAACAGAAACTGAGCAGGCCAGCTCTGCAGAAATGCAGATTTGATAATCCCATTCAGAAAGACTGGGGCCCCGTTCATGAGCAAACAAATACTACTGGCAGAAGCCCATTCAAGACAGGATCTTTCAAAATCCCTCGGAGCAAGATTTAATAGCTAACAACAGCAGAGTGATAGGATCAGAATCAGCAACCCCTCACCCAAAAATCCAACACAGGCTATAGCCATCAGCCACAGTCCCAGAGAAGCAAGACATGACCTTTAGGACATAATAGGATTAACCCAACACTATTAGAATACCAAAAGGGTACATTCAGGCTTAGGTCAAAGTTTGTACCACAGGAAGAGGAAGAACTTCAAACACAAAAACCCAAGAAGGTATAAAAACCCACCATTCCCAGCTCCATTTTGTCAGCTGCCCCAGAACTCCATGCTGTTGCTGTTCTTTTCTTCTAATAAACCTTCTTTCCAAATAGCCTCCATTTTTATTTCTAATGTCTTAGCCTCCATTTTGTTTCCTCCCAGCTTGGAACTGGACCTGGTGATTTTTTTTCAGCAATATCAATATCTCAAGAATTTTGCTCCCTGTATTAAATTACTAATTGTTATTCTACAGGAGTTTTCTAACAAGCAGAGCATTTATTTGATAATCACCATTCCTTTGTTTCTAATAACCAGGACAAGGTTTGCCCATCCAAGCATTTATTTTTCTCCCTCTCTCTCAAAATGTGCTGTATAATTCCTCCTAAATTTTGTATCATGGGGTCTGAGATATTGAGCATTATAAGCTGGAAAAGGCTGGAGAAATTGCTGAAGACAGCAACCAAAAGAATCTGGGATTCAAACATTATTTTAGAATCAGGAAAAGCAATTTGAGACTCTGGCTTAGAAAAAGGCAACTGAGAAGGGACAAGAAAGTGTGTATTAAATACATGGCATGGCAAAGCAACAGGAAGATTGTTCTCCATGTCTTAAAATATCAAGAACAATGAGTTATCCAATGGCATTTTGGAAGTGTCTGCTGGATCTCATTAAAGAC